CACATGTCACCTACTCGCTAAGCCAAATATATACACACAAGCACACACAACACAATTAATCAAAATCAACACTAATGCAGTTATACCTCCACAGTCGCCAAGATAATGAAACAATATGGCAAAACAACGCTCGCTCGAGTCCCATAAAGAGACTATTATACTTTATCAGTGTCAGCTTGCATATTGGTGCAATGGTTTGTTGATATGGTATATTTTAAAATGTAATTCCACACATAAGGTTGCAAAATAAATGGAGCAGTTTGATTTATGGAATTCAGCACACATCTCTAGATGGATAGGCATTTAAGTATAGTGATTATTTACTTTTTTATGAGGCCACAAATGACAAGATTGAGTGCTTCCTTGTATTCAGTATTGAACGCATGTTATGTTTGAAGTACAAATAAGCGGCTGTGATTGGACCCTTTTTAAAGGTTGTCTGATGTGCATTTTGGTTTCAGACCCTTTTGCATTTGAACAGAAAATAGAAGGGACTAGCCCTCAAGGCAACAAAACTATAATATATAATATATGTATTATATTAACTTTAAGCAGTGCTTGACTTACCAGTCAGTCCCTCCCAACAATTTGTAGCATGTATCCTCAAATCTGAATCATTCTCTTTCTCATATCATCAGAACAAAATATATAACTTATTTTTTCTTAAGGTGCTTTGCGTGTTGATTCTAAGGTGTTTTTTTTTTTTTTTTTCACTCCTACGATGCCATGTTTGTTTTGACTCAAACCGACGATGCGTTACTCTGACTGGCTCATTGATTGATCCGTCTGTCAGAAAGACAGTATATGGCTCCAGACCCATATGTCTTAGTATTGTATTAGTGTGTGGTTTTGGTTGACCAGGCAAATGCAGTGCCACTTTATTCGGTAGTGTGTTAGTAGTCCCAGTTTAAACCAAAGTTGTAAAATAGCGATTAGCTAATAATGGTGCTACACTTTAAGTGTTCTAAAAGTTGTTTACATACTAGTTTAGGATAATTATGCCTTCCTGTTACGCTATAGGGTAAGAAGTACAGTGAGGCCACACACCTCTATTAAAACATCACTATAATTGATTTCTTTACTGGACTGCAGTAAATTTTGTCCATATTTCAGGTGTAAAATTGTTGAATAATTTCTTCCATGTCTAATTACTAACATTACCTGAAAAACATTACTATTAACAAGTCAATACTGAATTCTGCTACTCAGGTTAAAGATCCCATACTGTGCTTTATTGAGGGTTTTTTGTTTTTTTTGGTAGAAATACATGATCCAAAGATGAAAAAACTGAAAAACTAAGCCAAATCTATATGCAAATCATTTCAAGCAGATGAACTGGAAGGGCATCCATTGAGGGGAAAAACTAAAAGTGATTCAAAAGAACAAATTACACTGAGAGCTGTAATATTGGTTACTCTTAACTCTGAGTCAGGATAGCCTATTACCACCACTATGCACACAAAGCAAGTGGGGTGTAACAAGTGGAAAATTGGTTCAAATGCCTGAATAAACCTGAAGCCTTTGCCTAATGACCATATCAAAACACAAACAGCGAAGTACCACAGCAGTTTGCAAACATGTTTTTGATCCTTACACTTATAAAATGTTAAGAGTGTCATCATTGGGTGTGTATTTTGCACTTGGTGAACATTCAGACCTGTCACATGAGGCTGAACTGTGCATTTAACCTTGGGCCCAGCGTGAATGCCCATCAGATAATGGTCATTGTTGGCAGGAGCAGGAAGTTTCCTCGCTGCTGTGCAGCTGCCATGCGTTCTGGCTCTGGCTGAGTGTCGAGACCAGCTGAGGCCCCTTCGCAATGACTTCATTCACCCCATGTTTCCAACACATTGCAGTGGTGTATGAGCTTTTAAACTGTTTGATATCAAAGGCAGCAAAGAGGCCATTGATGAGACAGTTAGTGTTCTTGTGTTGTGATGTCTGTGTGAAGGGCAGGATCATTGGGGTGAGGCACTGTGGCACTGTGTATTTGGTATTGTTTATAAAGTTTAAATAGGGTATATGGTGATAGCAATATGATATGATTTACCATACCAAACCATAATAAATTGGTTGGTTATGGTTGTTAAGTACATTGTTTTTGGGCACAAGTAAGTACCATTTGGAATTCTTTGTTACCAAAATGTTGACTTAAAACACTCTGATATATTGTATTTAATGAACGATGCCTCTGAGGTGTTGTGAATTCAAAAGCAGCTAATTTTACAGTTGTTAGCATAGAGATAAAAAGAATAAACACATTAGTGGGCATGCAGCCATTACAACCTTGTATTTACAGGATAAGAAGCTTAAGAACGTGATGTTAGATATATTACTTTACAACTGTATTGAATTTTCTTGTTCTTGAAAAGGCTTTAGGCACATATGCAGTTCTTCCAGCTCATCTCACTTCGGTTGAGAGTTGGGACTGAGGCACATAAACACATGCTTAGTTAGCTGGGTGCCGGAGACTCACTTTTGGGCTTTAGAGCAAAATAATAAAAAGACATTTTCAGTGATTAATATGCCTTCCCTTCAGCCTGTGGAAAAACGACGGCTATACTCAATCATGTCCTGAATCTATTAGAAATTATTGATTTTAGAGGAAGCAGTGAGAGAAAGACTGTGTGGAGGAGAGTGCAATGAAACAGTGAAGACAGAGATGTAGAGAGGGGGTGATGCACATTCAAAGGTGGAAGCTGGTAATGTGATTAAAGTTTCTCCTCTTAAAGCTGGTTAAATACTCTTTAACCTCCACTAATTTTCTGGTGGATGATTTGCCAATGTCTTGTCTCCATGGAGATGTTATTGCTTTGTCTGTATCCATAGACCGTATATGAATGGACATAGCTAACGCACTTGCCGCCGTGTTCCAGAAAGGAAGTGCGTCAGAAGGCTCTTTCGGCTCCTTCTGACCCTGGCTCAGTTGATTTACATTGCTCCTCTCTCTGTAACTGCTGCTGTGAGCCTCACCATTTTAGTCTTAAAATGTTCATATTAACTTGCTCTACATGACGCTGAATTTTTCATTTCATTATTTTGTCCTTAGATCAATATATGAACATAAATAATGGACCGAGGTTGCTCTCTCTAGCGTTAGCAACAGGTTTGGTTGACAGCTAGTGCATTTCGATACTAAGTAATCCCCCTCCCCGCTTTTCTGCCTCTTCCACTATCAGGGGTCACCTTGTTTTGACAGGTTTGAATGACATGTACATGATGTTGATCCAATGACTTTATGGGCTTTTAACAAGGTATTTAATAAAACTATCAAAAGACAAGGACCCCTGCCATTTTATTTGTGGGTTTAACTGTGTTGGCTGATTGTTCCTCAAGGAGTGCATCTACTTGTTAGACAACTTGTTTTCGGCTTGTTCTTTTACATTTTTTCGATTAAAATATAGCGATATAGGGTCATTTACAATTTGTCATGGTTTTTTCGGCATTTAACTGTGCTAATAGACCTTCGAAGTCCGATGTCCAGTTTTTCCATAGAACTATAAGATGAATCCATCCAATGCCGCATTGTTTTCAACAGCCTCTACTCAATGGCGCATGGGCCAAAAAAATTGTTCACTTCCGCATTTACTTCCTCAATAGGGACTAGCACCTTCCACCCATATGGCATAGGTAACATGTGCAGCGTGGAGCATTTGGACCAATCAGAGCGAGATCTGCTAAAGCGGAGCTAACGCGGGCTCAGAGCAGGACTAGGCTAACTCTTACAAAGGTAACTTTTAGGTGCTTTGAGGATTTAAAAAATTTAAAAAACTTATGTTGTGAAAATAGAAAAGAGTCCCTACAAAATCTGACCTTTGTGAAAGTTGTCAATGCCCTGTCAGCCAAACACGGGCAGTTTGAATCCCCAAAAAATGCATTGTGCTTCTATGGGAGAATTCTTTCTGGCTGCAGAACCAATGGAGCAGCCACTAGTCGGTCTCAAGCCGGAAAAGAAGGGGTATGCCTTATGCAGTTATTATTATAGATCTGTGAGATTTTCTGGTAAGTAAAATAAATAGAATTAACTGATGGCAATTGATTTATTAGTCAAATAATCAGTATGGACGTGTAGCAGTATATTAGCCCAATGTAACTATCACATCCGTATTCAGATGAAAAACGCAAAAACCATCGAACTACTGTGGTGCATGCAGAACAGTGCGGAGCAGAGTATTTGCCACTCTCCGGTGAGAAAGGCGGGCACATTTAATGACCTCAATCATGATTGGCTGTTGTGGTTGCTATGATAATTGCGGTCGGATTTTCAAATATGGAGCCTGGCTCCAAATTTATTCCTGTAATTGTTAGCACTGGGAGCTACTTTTGAGTGGAGCTGAATGCTATGGGTGACATCATTCTCACTTTTTCTTTACAGTCTACGTCTATATCACAGTATGGCCTTAAATGGAAAGGGATCGAGGTGAAGCTGCAGATTAGCAATCAAGAGTCTTACTGTGTACTTTATCGATAACCTTATGTGCATTAAAAATCGTGTGTCTGAAGTATTGTACAACATTTCACAAATAATAATAACAGTTTTGACTTGTATCTAAACTAAAAGTGCAGTGCTCTGATCATTTGAACACTTAAGTGTCTCAATGCAAGTCATTTTACTCTAGATGGGAAACAGCTGATGTACTCGCACTCACAACACTGAAAAAAAAAGGTTGCTGGATTTGCATAAAAAAGTTATGGAAAGTGGTTGCACCAATAAAATTATGTTTAGGTTTTGAAACTTATTTCGATCCCCTTTACGCAAATTTTTCTCAGAACATGAATGTCACTTTTTCATGTTGATGAAATTTGATCAAATCATGCTGAATATGCATATTTATCTTATGTTACCTTATCGTGAAATGTATAAGTATGTGTAATTGAATTGAATTGATCTAATTCTGTAAAAGAATACAAACAGTCTTTAGTTTTCCACAGTCCTGTATTGTCTTAAACAGAATCAAACACACAGAGAGCACAAGTACAGAGACACACAGTTTGGAGCTGGACAGTGTGAAGATTTATTCCAGTGAAGACACTCTGGTCTCTGTCTGTGGACACAGGAATAACACATGATGAACACATTCTGATGATCTACTCTGTTGTACATGTTTAAATACACTTAAAGCACTTATTACTACAATAATGGACCAGAAAAGAATCATGTGAACATTAGAACTGTATCTGCAGAAAAAAAACTCATGTGTGCTGCTTTTCTTCCTCTAAATGCAGTAACAGGGAGGGCATCTGGTATAAAGTCCTCTAGTGCCACATCACCCTGTAGAAACACGATCACTGTTTCAATAGGAAGTTCATTTTGAAAAATTCTTTTAAAATCATTTTAGTTGGTTTACTTACTTTGTTCATCTGTGCTTTGTGTTTTGTTGGTTCTCAAACATCTTCCTTTTTCCTGAAACATCAGCTATAACATTCATGAAGTTCCCCACAGCTCCAGCAGAGCTCTGGACGTCACTCTGTGTTTGTAGACGACTCTGGAAGCAACACATTCAAATCTTAGTACAACTGTCACACTCTTGTAGATGGACAGTCAAATACAATTTGTTTCATGGAAATAGTCCTGACATTAACTCTAATTTCAAATAAAACACCACAAACATGTTTTAACAATGACGACATTCTAGGCCGGAGAAGCATATAAAATCTTTAAAAAGTCTTACCTCCAGATCAGCTCTCATAATCCTCCTGCTCCACAGTGTGTGTCCTCTGCTCATCTAACTGTCCTGTGTCCTGTTACATTTGAATTTTCCCTCCAAAAGTTTTGGGGAGGAGAATTCCAGAGGGAGGAGCCTCACCAGAGATTATAATAAAGTCATGTTTCCTCAACCTGATTAAAACATGCAGGTCTGACATCGGCCACAGTCAAGTGACCTTTGTAAGATTTAAACATGCTGGACAGAGAAACATAAAAAAGTCATGTTATTGTTGTCAAATTTGTTTTTGCAATTTGTGCAATCCCTCTCGGACAATTTTTTCAGTGAACTGTGTAGCGTGAGGTAAAAAAGCCATATCCAGCAGCACTCTTTGCAATCAAAGATTTAAAATCTCATAATATTCTTGTGTCTGTGGTGTGCGCTTTTTGTTGCATGTTTAAAAATTCTTTAAAACCAAAAAGTCCTGTAGTGTGACCGCCATACTGTGGAATTCAATCCGTTGTAATAAGATCTCTATGGAGTGACAGACTCTCCACCAAGAAAATTACATAGTGCAACTTTTGCATGCTGCATCAAAGTTGGAGCATAGAAACAAAGCTGAAGTTACTTGTGATTTGGGTGAGGCTCTTTATCTTGGAGGTGCGTTGTGGCAGCACTGGCAGTGACCGATGAGCACAGACAAGAGCAGAGTGTCCAGAGTCCAAATCCATTCAGAGAGATCAAAAACAAGAACGCCCTGAATCCAGACTGAAGCGGTGAATCAGCCAAATGCACCATGAGACAGCAGCAGTTCAACCGTGTCTAGAATACAAACAAGTGTGAAATATTTCAGGATATCCCCAAGGCATAGGTAATAAACATTGTGGTGTGGTATTTTTTCACATTGTTGCATTTTAATGTTGCCAGTATAGGCTATAGTTAAGTTTTCCGTGCATGCTCAAGTCAGACATTGATTCACAGGGGGTTTGTTAAAATATGCCCTATTTGTCAAAGTCGAAAGTATATCTTTAAATAGATACTACAAATTGCTTGTATGTTGCTGCAATATTAGATCTGAAGGGTTATTGCAAGTTTTTGTTAACATTTATAGTTAGGCCAAACCTCTCACTCTTTTTATATTGATTTAAATATATTTCTCAGCTTTATTCCAACAAACAAATGTTGTCTATTGATCCATTCAAAGTCTGATCTAGGCTTGACAGGTTATTTGTCTTTTTGCTTTATTTTTACTTAAATACACTGGATTTCTCTTATTAAATTTGATGGATGAGGCTATTATTCTTTAGTCATAAAAGAAAAAAGTGTTACTGTTGTGCATGTTATGTTGTTTTTAAAACAATGTAAATAGTAAGTTATTTGTGTGAGTTGTAAAATGAACTTTAGTTGCATATTTTATAGTGCAGCACAATTTTCCAGAGTGAAATTGCTTAGTCATTATCTGTGCTTCATCTAATACATTGTTTTCACCTCCTCTAATTAACCTCTGTTTGTGAATTAGCATTCTGTTTAACAGCCTTTCTCCTTGGCTACTCTCCATCGGACCAGATGTTTATCACTGAAACCCGGACTTCATTTAGAGGATTAGATTAGGTGTCTTACTATTGTGTATAATGTTACAGGCCCTGGTCAATATAGAATGGAGAAAACATATAGAAATATGATGATTATTAAGGGGTTTAGATTACCACTGTTTTGGTTGATATTATTAGTGTTTTAATTACATATCATCTTGACTTGGCATTACTTTAAGCACAAAAAGATTAGACATATGTAATCGCTTATAATAAAAATATAATATAAAAAAAAGTTTAATAAAATATGACACACATCACCTATTTTTACAAGTATTTTACAAGTATAGTATTGTTTGTGCATGGTGTAGGAAAATATTAAGCTCCCCACTCCTGAAAAGGGAAGAGAAAAATAAGAACAGAACTCGTGTGGTGGGGCTGAGTGGGTCAAGACCTGCACAGTTTTGATTGACAGCTGCCAACACACTGTTATATACTGTATATCATTCACACTTTCATCAGAGGATTGACAACAGTGCATGGGAGAAAATCTATATATTTAAATTCAAACTGAATGACAATTATTTTGTACAACTACATGGAGTGTTTAGTCTACCACAAAGACTACTTATTTGAGAATTATATTGAGTTAATATTTAGTCTGGTTGACGCCTCTGTGATTGAAATGGAATACATTAAATGTTACAGTTTCATTGGGAGCTTTGAGTTTCCTTAAACCTTGGTCAAAGTAGAAATCAAGCCAGACAAATGCTAATCAGCACAATAGGGTATAGCGATCCAAAGCTAGCTAAGTTTCAGGGTATAACTCCTTTCTAGTGCAGGACAAATCTATCCCCTCCTCCCTTAGACCACTTTAAATTGTAGCTCTTTTGACCAGTACCTTGAGATTGAAATGACAGTTGAAACATCTCAGTTTCAAGAACATTGTCTTGGTGACTACCCCTGAAACCCTTTCTACCACAGACCAGTCCTGGACAAATGAGAGCTCACATCGACTTCTCGGTCTAAAATGTCTAAAATTTCTGAATGGATCTATGTAATCTGGTTATTTGACATGCAGTTTCCTTAAATCACACTTTTACGGCCTTTTACTGTAAATCTATATTTCCCTTGGCTCTGTGGTCTGTCCTGGGTGACTCACCAGTAGTTCATCCAGATGGTGTTTGTGTTCTGGGCTTTGCATCTGTGTGTCTGTATAGATGGAGCAGGTGTGTCTCTCTATGCATGCCGCCATCCTGCAATAATAACCAATTAACTTCCATCATCTTGTTTGAAGGCAAAATAGTAATCTGATATTCTTGCACTGTCTAATTTGACCGTCCTACCCCCTCATGTTAACAGCTCTCCTGTGTGTAAATACCAGTCAGTGATTAATGTGGGGATGTAAGTCCAGTCGTGCTCCTGTCAGCCCATCTATCATACAGCCCACAATGACTAGTACTATGACAAGATGAATGGGACAACCTCACCAGGTCCACTGCCCTGTTACTAAGTCTGAACCAACCACTCACCTTTTTGTTATTGGTTACACCTCCTAACATGACCTTTGATCATGTCAAAAGACTAACATTGGTCAAGGATTTCTAGATTTCTAAAGGGGGTTTGTTCTCAAAATCAGTGTGATGTTTACAATAATTTTGCTATATATTTTTCAAGCCATGTTGAAATATATTTTGCTTCACACATAAAACAAATTCACGCCACACTTATTACTTCAACATGACCGCCGGAGAGAGTGGCAGCAGGTCAGCGTTGCACTGTTTCTCCTTACTCACTCATATAGCTGAGATATATTTTTTGCTATATATTTATATATTTTTTTTATTTTTACTTGTACATATACAGTTGTAATTATCCCTTATTTGACACCAGTTTCTTGTTATTTTTACTGCCGTACTTATTTTGAATTTATTATTTTTGCTCTTTTCCCCTTGAACCGTCACCTTATCGTGGTGGAGGGGTTTGAGTGCCTGAATGATCCCAGGAGCTATGTTGTCGGGGGCTTCATGCCCCTGGTAGGGTCACCCAAGGCAAACAGGTCCGGGGGGACAGGTCAGACGAAGAACGGTTCAGAAGCCCTATATGATGATGTCCACTCAGAGGCCAGCGACGTCGCCCGGATTGGCGTCACCGGGGCCTCACCCTGAACCCTGGGGTGAGTGCTCGTCAGCGAGCGCCTGGTGGCCGGGCCTTCCCCCACGGGGCCCGGCCGGGCTTAGCCCAAAGGAGCGACGTGGGGCCGTCCTCACCACCCGCGGGCGGATCCATATGGAGCCGGTGCAGAGGGGCGGCCTCGGCGACCGGATCTCCGGACATGGAGACTAGCTCTGGGGACATGGAATGTCACTTCGCTGGGGGGGAAGGAGCCTGAGCTTGTGCGGGAGGTTGAGCGTTACCGACTAGATATAGTCGGCCTCACCTCCACGTACAGTTTGGGCTCTGGAACCCAACTCCTTGAGAGGGGCTGGACTCTCCATTTCTCTGGCGTTGGCCGCGGGGAGCGGCGCAGGCTGGTGTGGGCCTGCTCATTGCCCGACACTCAGCGGCTGTGTGTTGGAGTTTACCCCGGTGAACAAGAGGGTCGCGTCCCTGCGCCTTCGGGTCGGGGACAGGTCTCTCTCTCACTGTGGTGTCGGCCTACTGGCCGAACAGCAGTGCTGAGTACCTGGCCTTCTTGGAGTCGTTGTCCGGCGGTGGAAGGAATACTTTGAGGATCTCCTCAATCCCACCGTCACGTCTTCCGAGGAGGAAGCCGGGGCTGGGGACTCAGAGGCGGACTCATCCATCACCCTGGCTGAAGTCACTGAGGTGGTTGGCAAGCTCCTTGGTGGCAAGGCTCCGGGGTTGGATGAGATCCGTCCTGAGTACCTTAAGTCTCTGGACGTTGCAGGGCTGTCTTGGCTGACACGCCTCTTCAGCGTTGCGTGGCGGTCGGGGACAGTACCCTTGGACTGGCAAACCGGGGTGGTGGTCCCTCTGTATAAGAAGGGGGACCGGAGAGTGTGTTCCAACTATAGGGGGATCACACTCCTCAGCCTTCCCGGTAAGGTCTATACCAGGGTACTGGAGGGGAGAATCCGGCCGATAGTCGAACCTCGGATCCAGGTGGAGCAGTGTGGTTTTTAGTCCTGGCCGTGGAACACTGGACCAGCTCTACACTCTCCATCGGGTGCTCGAGGGTTCATGGGAGTTTGCCCAACCAGTCCACATGTGCTTTGTGGACTTGGAGAAGGCATTCGAACGTGTCCCTCGTGGTGTCCTGTGGGGGGTGCTCTGGGAGTATGGGGTCCGGGGCCCTTTGCTAAGGGCTGTCTGGTCCCTGTATGACTGGAGCAGGAGCTGTGTTCGCATTGCCGGCAGTAAGTCAGACCTGTTCTCGGTGCATGTTGGACTCCGCCAGGGCTGCCCTTTGTCACTGGTTCTGTTCATTGTGTTTATGGACAGAATTTCTAGGCGCAGTCAGGGGCTGGAGGGGGTCCGGTTTGGGGACCACAGGATTTCATCCCTGCTGTTTGCAGACGATGTTGTCCTGTTGACTTCATCGAACCAGGACCTGCAATGTGCACTGGGACGGTTTGCAGCCGAGTGTGAAGCGGCTGGGATGAAGATCAGCTCTTCTATGTCTGAGGCCATGGTTCTCGACCGGAAAAAGGTGGCTTGCCCTCTCCGGGTGGGTGGAGAGTCCCTGCCTCAAGTGGAGGAGTTCAAGTATCTCGGGGTCTTGTTCACGAGTGAGGGGAGGACGGAACGTGAGATTGACAGGCGGATCGGTGCAGTTTCGGCAGTGATGCGGTCGCTGTATTGGACTGTTGTGGTGAAAAGGGAGCTGAGCCGAAAGGCGAAGCTCTCGATTTACCGGTCAGTCTTCGTTCCTACTCTCACCTATGGTCATGAGCTCTGGGTAGTGACTGAAAGGACGAGATCGCGGATACAAGCGCTCGAAATGAGTTTCCTCCGCAAGGTGGCTGGGCGCTCCCTTAGAGATAGGGTGAGGAGCTCAGTCACACGGGAGGAGCTCGGAGTAGAGCCGCTGCTCCTCCACGTCGAGAGGAGCCAGTTGAGGTGGCTCGGGCATCTGTTCCGGATGCCTCCTGGGCGCCTCCCTCGGGAGGTGTTCCGGGCATGTCCCACCAGGAGGAGGCCACGGGGAAGACCCAGGACACGCTGGAGGGACTATGTCTCTCGGCTGGCCTGGGAATGCCTCGGGGTCCCCCCGGAGGAGCTGGAGGATGTGTCTGGGGTGAAGGAAGTCTGGGAGTCCCTGCTTAGGCTGTTTCCCCCTCGACCCGACCCCGGATAAGCGGACGAAAATGGATGGATGGCTGGATGCTCTTGCTTTGTTCAATTTATTGAACAATTTATCAATTGTGTTATGTGAGTTATGTGTGTCCAAATAATTTTCCTTGTGGATGAATAATTTTTTTCTAAATCTTAAATCACATTCAAATGTAACTGCTACTGTCAGTAAATTTTTCTATATGCATTTATCTGTACTTTTACTCAAATATATTTTGATATTAGTATTTATGATAGTGTGCATTTTCAGATGAAAATTCATACTTTTACAGTTCAGAGTGAGTTGGCAGCACAGACGTAGCACAGACCTTGTGAAGTTGGTTCTGTTAAATCCTGGGATCTCCCAGAGGTCAGCTGCACGAAGCTGGATGAGCCACACAATCCAGGCTGCCATGCCTGACCTCCGACTGACCGGAGTAATTGGTATCAGGAAATTTCACCTCACATATATCAGGATGGTCCTCCACTTGGATGAAAACATCCAAACAATAACATCTTCTTAATATTTATGATATTAATATTTATCAAATGTGCATTTTTAGCCGTAAAATTCTTTATAATAGAACCACAATTCCTGAATGCTGTGAGGTGTGGAGCCTGTTTTCACATCTGTCTTGTGAAGGCATTCATGTTTGATATTTCATGGTAATGGTTGATAATCATTCAATTGTTGGATGCTTCATTGATTTTTTGTTTGTAAGGTGCGTAAATGTAATGTTATGTATTTCTCTGTCTTTAATATAAGCCCTTTTTGGGTTTTTTGCCTCTTCCAACATTTACTTTTTATCTAGCATGAATTTTTATTGTTATATAAGTGCAAAATTAATAAATAAATAAACATGTAACTTTTTTTAAGTGACTAAAATTCATAAAATTCATATAGCAGGATGGAGCTCTGCAACACTCCGCACTTCAAAGAGCATTTACTCTTCCATGTTTGCATTAAAAACTGAATTGTCAATTAACATACGGTACTTTAGTTAAGCCTCTTTATTTGCATATAATTTAACCTTTTCTTAAACTCTGCCTGATAATTGCACACTTTGACCTCTGTACTCTGTTTCATTAGTATTGCACCATCACACATAGGATGCTCCAAGCTTTTCTCCATCCACCTATTCTTAACACTTGGGCGCTCACACAATGACAGGGTATAGAAAGAAGGCCATTTTCCACTGACACATCACAGCCTGGAGTATGCATGACCAACCTTGCCATTATCTCTATGCAGAAATAATTTGAGTGTCAGGTGTTCCGTGGGGGAGAGGGGATTTTTCATTTTATCATAGACTTCAGAATTCACACGGGCTTGACAGTGGCAGAGTTAAATTTAGTGCCATATGAAAATTACATTGGTGACAAGGGAGATGTAAGTAGGAAGATGAGGTGAATGACTTATGATTGTGCACACGGACTTCTTAAAATGTGATGTTTTATACAGCTTTAAGATTGTTATAGCACATCCTATTATCTCTGCTAATGACCTCATAACTCATAGTGAGCTTGCTGTATCTACTTCCAGAACAATAGGACCATGCAGCAGAAAAGCTCTGTGTTTTTACAAGAGGAAAGCAGCCAGTCATTGTTCATACATAATAAGAGCTTATTTGAAGAGGTTTTTTTTTTTAATATATATATAAAGTAACTGATTTTCTGAAGTACAAAGTGTTTCAATGATGTACTTGTGGGAGGTCATGGACTTTTTGCTCAGTAAAAGGAAGTGTGATTTTTTTTTTTTTATTAAACTATGTAATTTTCAACCACATCCTCAAAGAGTTTAGTCTTTATAAGTTACATATTTGGCAGTTCTTTATAATAACTGAATATTTTTTAGATATTAAATCCAACAAAAATGGTAAGCCTATGATGAGAAATTGAAAACTATAGCTGTTGTGAGTTGTTAATCCCTGTAGCCATTATGACTGTATACTAAATGGTCTCAGTGAGGAGTGTATAAAAAATATTGATATATCAATATATCTATCTATCTCTCTATATATATATATCTATATCTGTGTGTGTGTGTGTGTGTATATATATATTAGTGTAATTATTTAGTGTAAGGAAACCTGTTTATACAATACACTTTACATATTCTGTTTTGATGATTAAAATAGATGTATTTCATATTAACTTTGCACAGACAGTAGTTTAACAAAGAAATACTGTTGCTAAAATGTGTTGGGTTCTTAAAAAACAGTAAGATATCACAGAGTATCATGGCCAATATATTGATTATCACGTGTAATATTGTTGTATCTTGAGCCATGTATCATGTATCACATTGAATCGTGAGGGACCCTGTGATTCCCAAACCTAGTGAACACAATGACTGTATACTGTGTCAATTTATATCGCACTCTTCCTCTTATTTGGCATCAAAGCACTTTTACCGCAAGATATCATTCACACTCATTCATACTGCATGTAGATTCTGTTACTTTTGGGTGGCATGCCATGTCAAACCTTCCAGAATTCCTCTAGAGTTTGGGAAGGTTTGTTTGACACCTTGTTTGTTGTACTTTTTGTCAGTTAAATTCATTCTAAAAGTAGAGAGAATGGCTTGACTCCAGCTGCTTTTGTGAGTGACAGATGCATTAAATCCTCAACAATCAAACAACAGGCTCCATCAGATGTTAGCTCAGCGTGATGGGAACAAAAGGCTGCACTATATGATTCGATTGACTGACATTGCTGCAAGCTAGCGGTCGCTTTGGGTATTTCCTGTTTACAAACCCCAAAGCCACAACGGTGTACCCTGAGCACTGCAACCTCCGAGTCAGCCAAAACAATGGCCTGAGAGCCTCTTAGGTCATCAATATTTAAAGGTGTAGTCTAGCGGACAAAAGAGTCTTGTCCCTGTTTATTCTTCCCAAGAGGGTTTGATGGACACACTTTACTAATTGCGTAACAAAGCCATGCAGAAGTGTCATTTACACTTTACTGCTTTGATTGAGAAGGGAATAGTGCACAGGCTCAGTCGGGCTGCTAAGAGGCGTCAAACTGAGTAGTATTTAGCACACTTTGATGCTCATCCTCCTGTTTGTGCTGCACAAGTAAATAATGTAGGAGAACTGATGCATTGTTAAACAGCATTGTGTTGCAAGTGTTAACAACCTAGTCTTTAATCTTTTAGGAGTCATATCTTATACATACATTTTTGTTTCAAGTTCATTTTAAATTAAAAATCTTGAGCTAAATCAACTTTCATGAGCTTCTGTTTGTGTTGTGGTTTCCCCTTTGCTTTGAGTTGTATTTGACTGATTGATGCATGTTTGAGAAGTCCTGTTTTTTCCTGATAAAGCATTACACTGTATTATTCATTCATAGTAATCATTGTTCATTCACTTCATATTTAGTGATGGTAGACAACTTCTGTTGTCACAGTTACCCTGGAATAAACTGACAGAAGCAAGGACTCCATTCATACTTGGCAAAGTGGGTAAAGCGTCTTGCCAAGGCTGAAGTCATAACAGTGAAGTAATTCACTGCCAAAACGCTAGGGGGTGACGATATCTGTCCATTCATATATACGGTCTGTGTGTATGACCCGCAGACGTATAATCTCTGAAAAGTTTAACATGAACCATCTCTAACGCGACAAAAGCACAGAACAGACTCACCATTAGTACAACGTGACTCTGTCATAGAAAGAACACTCATATTCCACTGAGTCGTGTTCTTTTTAAGTCCGAGAGAAGCTGAACCGCGTATTAGGAACGAGCTGTTTTATGAGCGCTTTGTTTATGTAAGTTTAGCCATGCGGTTTTAAGTTTCGTTTCTGTAAAACGTAAACACATATGCGCAAAGCTGCACTAAACACATTATTTCTCAATGTATACTGAAACAAAGAAAAGCCGACAGGAAATGTATACAGAGCGGTGGTACGGAGGACCAATCACAGCTCTTATCATCTGTGTCGCTTCCCCTGCTGTCTGCGTCGTTTTGACGCAGGTGCACGTCGGTTGATCCAGAGGTCCTGCGTTGTGACGCAGACGATGTGACGCTGGACCGTAAATTGGCCTTTAAGGACACAACGAGAACACTTGGTCTGAGCAGGGTTCGAACTGCTGACCTTCAGAATGGTGGACAGCCAACCACTCAGTCACAAAGGCTTTAGAAATTTTAGAAAATCCCATCTACTTTGCAGTTCTGTCAAAAAGATTAAGACTAAAAAAGAGGAATAAAAGTGCATAGCCAAGGAAACATCAAAGCATCTAAGAAAAAGGTAACTGTCATTCCTGTGTTGTGGCAAGACATATAGACAACAACATCTTTTTTAACAGTTGAACACCAGCATGCAAAGAAAACTTGATTTTAAATTATAATATCATAGTTGCTTTGTTGGAGTATGAGTTAGATTCTGGTTTCCTGAGGGGCACTGCCATGTCTTAAAGTGCTGATGGTTTTATAGTCCTGTGTAATTGGACACATAGAAGTGATGGTCTCCTCTTGCAGTTATTGAGTGGGCAGTTCTTAACGACCTGAGTTGCTCTCCCTCTCACTGACATTTGAATGCATTATATTTGAATGTTGTACATTAGCAGCAAAAGCTCAGCTTTAATTGTGCACTTAAACCTGCCCTTTGTCTCTGGGAAACAGGAAGAAAATGCCACAGACCTCTTGCTGGTTGTCATATTGCTGAGACGGAATGTGTGGGCAGATCAACACGTTGCACTCAGTGCTCTGTCAGAATAAAACAATTCACGTCATCTCTGTTCCTTCTTTTAGAAGCAAATTTAATAGAAACACTTTCAAAGTTCAAAATGTTCCTAGTCCAGACTGTGGAATGAAGCAGTTTGATGAGTCAAAATCAGAGAATGGCAGACTATAAGAAAGAAAATAAGCATCTGAACAGACTGAATCTGCATTGTGACCATGGTCTCTTTTGCACAGTTGTTAATGGAGACATGCAACAGTGTGGTGCTCTGTGCAGAGGATGAGCTCATGGCCAATGGGGCCACAGAGAGGCATCAGGCTCAGCTCATTGAGTCGGGATCATGCTGAAATCGGTGCTGCCCACTAACGGGACGTTTACAGTCCCACATGCTTTATGCCCCCGTGTCCTGTCTACAGCCGTGACACACATAAAGTATTTAATTAAAACTAATGTACACTGCTCTCAGATGAGCGGGCACTCTGAGAAATGAGCCCATTACTGCTGTAGGAAAGTGAGCTGGCTTTTTAGCCGTATCCCACAATGCACCAGTGCTTCTCTAAAATCAGCAGAGATGTTGAAGACAGCCACAGATGCATACAGCGTAGCAAGAGAGTGTACCAGTCAAAGAATGATAATATCCTCTCTTCATAATGTACACTGGTATGGCCGTTTGCCTCAGAAACAGTATATTTCAACGTTGAGTTTAAGGTTAAGGCACACTATATGATACCTTAGCCAGAGAGCCAAAAAATCAATGGATTAAGTTTTAAAGCTTGACTCTTGAAATTAAAATTGTTGTGCATTATTGATGGACTTGTTGGTACTGACTTGTGAAATATTTCTGACTTTATTGTTTTAAGGAACAAAAGCAAATACTATATTTGACAATGGTTCTTCTCTGATTCTAGTTACGAGACAAACTTGTTTCCATGTAACAGCTCTGCAATCTGAGGATCCACTCTGAAAGTAGTGCCTTCTGTCTTTGCTAGCACAGAGTTTCTCTGACACCTTTTTTCCCTGGCCCAGGTCGGGCTCATTGTGAGTGAGTCTGACAGTAAAACGTTTCAGCTCTCCTTCCAAAGCCCCTTATTTCAACAGTGAAGTCGTAGATACACTCTGTGTCCTCACATGGGCTCTCAGCAGCTGTCATCTATTTGCCTGCAGCACTCAGTAGGTTTTGGAAAAGGAAGAGCACACACACTGATGCTCAGATGAATCAGCCTTATTGTTCTTCACTTGCTTTGTCTTACACAGTACTTGCCTCACCATAATGCACTGGCCTAATTTGACAAATAATGACAGTGTTTTACTTATAGTGTCCACTTTTACCATTTGTAAGGGCTGGAGAGTAAAAATATAATGAATGTGTATTTAGACACTTGAGAGACTGGTATTGGGCACGCTTATCTAAATAGTGGTTCTCAACCTACATTTACAGATTGGATTCAGTGAAAGGGCCAAGTCACCAAGCCCTGTTCTCCAAGTGCCAACCTGTTTCTCATGTTGTGGCACGTATGTATGCAGATTAGCCATGTGCTGTGGGGACATCCTTATACAGCCATATAAAAAAACAGCATGATTAAATACACCTAGCCTTTTGATAAGAGAAATAACTAATGTCATTGCAAGAGAAATTCAAATTGTGGCTGCATACAATATTGTTCTATTTTCAGTTATATAAGATAAAAGGATATGTAGAATATAGCCTTACTATTTTGCTTTACACAGCTACTATACCATCTTGATTATTGTATTGCAAATGCAAAGTGACAAACAGTTGATCAGTTGATGTTATATAAAATGTAAAAATAAAAACATTGGTATTAGGACTTGGATCGGCGTAAGCGAAATATGAATTAAAGGTCCTTTATTATGCTAAATAGACTCTTATGAGCTTTAAGCCATCTTAGAAGGCTGTTGCCTCCTCAAAAACATACCTGTTTACTAGGGGTGGCACAGTTCACAAAATTCACGGTTTGGTTCTTGTTGTCATTTTTTCTTTTTAATCTTTAATCTCCAGAAATATACTTCATCATATGCTATGTTAGCTTAATTATCCACAATTTAGGATACCGCATTAAAAACCTTATAAAATTATAGTTAGTAATGTAATCATGCACAAACTGAATTTGACTTGACTTTAAGCGCATTATTATTGGACAAAGGCAGCTGTTGTGCTTCGGTGAAAAAATGTTACCACCTTCCTAACCCTCCTCAGGAGTCAAGATACTTGGTTTAGTGAGATTGTGCTCTTGGCTGCAAGGTTAAGGGGCTGGCTCCACTGCGCGCGTCAGCATTTATGCGCATAACCTCGCAAAACCACAGCCGCACGTCAACACAACAGCGGCTCCACCGGCAGCTGCCGAAGTACACGCGCAGAGCTGGCTCTGGGTTTGTCAATGGGAAAGACGATCAAACTTGACTAAGCGCGTTTAGCTGAACAGACTTGTATTTACCTTCTTTATAGGCTGACCACGGCAAACGCGTGGATTTCAAAAGTAAATTTTAAAGCACTTATTAACCGTCTTTCTGGACCTGGGTTCTTTCATACAACACAGAACTGCCCCAGGAGCATGTTGTGCTGATGGTAAACGCCCAAATACAACCAAAGATTCATGCTTTCTGTTTATTTTGATGGGGATACACGCCTACCTTTGCATAGAGCGTCAAAAAATAGGATGGATCCTATTTTCTGAAATCTACGTGTGCAGGATTGCTGCTCCATATGCATGTCTAGCGCATACAGTGGAGCCACCCTCATTCACTTTCCATGCATTCTAAAAGTTTTGTGTCCACAAGGTGCAGTTTTTACACTAGCGTAGGGCGAAATACGCATGCCAGGCCTTTAAGATCTGGCTCCACTGCACGGCTAAATGCGCCCACTCAAGTTTGATCGTCTTTCCCATTGACAAACACAGAGCCCGTGCTGCGCATGTACGTCCCGCTGCAGCTGCCGATGGAGCCGCCTTTGTGTTAACGCACGGCTGTGGTTTCGCGAGGTAATGACATGTGCACATCGTCCATCTCCAGGTGGCCCTCTTCTCTCCAACTTGCCATTTCTACATGTGACGCGCAGCACCCACCCTCCACACCTCTTCTTTTGCGCCAAAGCAAAACGGGTCACATACGGGCAGGTTTCGCAATGCGCAAGCCGGGAACCGTGGAAACCGTACAATATGGTTCAGTTTGTTTTTTTCATGAACCGTGCCACCCCTACTGTTTACATCCCCAAAGATCAAAATGCTCTGTTTCCCCTTGTGATGTAATTTAGTAGTTTTCAAGTTAACCGCTACCTTTTACCTTTAGTTTTAGAGATTGGCAGTTTCAGGGCTGAAATCATCTAAATGATTCTAGTGAAGGTGTATGGAGTTTGAAAACACAGTGGAGTACTTCTTGCGCTAGCACATGACATCACAAGGTGGAGTATTTTGTGTTTAAGAGAAGTCTGCCTAAATATGCAGGATTTGTGTGTTAAACGTGTGTGAATGAAACAAACACAACTCCAGGTATATTTCTGATGAGGAAACAACATTATAACAGATCAGAAAATAGCATAATATGGGCACTTTAAATAAAAAAAATTAGCAGCTCCTTCCATTGTTCCTTTGACATCTGTAATTCACGGTCGTCTTGTATTGTAGCGCTGGGTAGTACAGACTGTTGGCGCCTTGGACAGTGGAGGGACGTTTAGATGAAAGGTCAAACTGGAGAGGGACTTTCCATCACTTGATGAAGTAGTCCGTGTTGGGCTGATGAGCTGCTTTTCAAGATAAATGGTCACCTCCGGGCCTCATCACCTGCTGCAACAAGCTGTGCCATGCAGACTCTTCAGATCTGTCAGCCCAGAAGAACAGCCCCTTTAATGACACTGACACTGACTGAACACAAGTGTCAGTGTAATGAAACGTTCTAATTGGATAAAGTCTCAAGAAACTTTTCTTCACCTTCTGTTACTTATTGGACATATCTTTGAGAGGAGCCTTAATAGTTGTGATCTTGTGTTATGATGCTATCTGTGCAGCAGTGATTATGAAGATGGATGAGATCTGGTCCAAATGGTTATTTCCTGGCAGCGCTGTGTAGGAATAGACTTCTCCAGATGTTTTTGCACAAACTCGACAACTGGAACCAACTTTAATTTATGTTTGCACTGAAAG